CAAACCCACTCGTCAAAATCTCGAGCAGCACAGAGGAAGACACTGCGAGATGAAGGACAGTCGCTCTGGGTTATAAGTCTCGAGATAGAACTGTCCTCATTCAACAATCCCCATATCTACGTAAGCTTCCAAACACATAAGTGAGTTTATGTATTATCGAAAAAGACAGGGGACACTAGGATGACCATTTCTAGCTCATTGGCCGTCATCAGCTAGTGACAAATATATTCCAGTGTTGCCGTGGAACTTGTAGCCACACTCGAGTTTCGATCCTGCAATCTCTCTGATCGGAATCAAACGCCATAAGCATTGGATGTGGCATTCCATTCGAGTGTGGCAGCAATTTTGGCGGCAACACTGGGGTTTGAGTATCACAAGATGACGATAGCAAATGCGCCAGAAATGGTCATCTTAGTGTCCCCTGTCTTTGTCGGTAGTTACTCCACATAAATAAAATTTACTGAAACTTAGTAAGTAAAATTACAATCAGTCACTTTGCGAAATAAACTTGGAGGTGTCTAATCTTGCAATGGAGCGGCATACGATTATCTACTACATAAGGGAGTTAATCAACAGTGGCTGCAGAAACAACAGGCGGGTCATCTAACAGTTCCTAAAAGTGAGGAATTTCAGGTCCTTGCTAAACCCGAGTCAAACACTCCCGAACGCTGAGCGTAGAACACTACATGCAGACAATCCATTGCTTGCTAATTTTGTGAGTTGTCGTTAATGGATCAGACCTTGAGTAGGACTCCATTCGGCTTATATTTAGTCGGCGAATTTGACGAAGAACAGAAGGCCAGTTCTTCGCACCGCTTAGCTTAGTCTGTTCTGACTGTTGCTTGCGAATCCGTAAGGGCAACATCAGATGAACGATGCCACATTACTCAGTGTCAGCCACATCGACACTGCCGATAAAGGCAAGAATGCCTGGAATGATCATTTCTAGTCTATCAACCGTCATTAGTCAGCCATAGCCAATAACAGGTGGTGCCCTACCCAAGGATTGAACCGTCGGAATATTGATTAAAAGCGCAAGGCTCTAACCATTCAGACACGGGTTGGTTTTAAAGTCGGTTTCAATCAGGACTATTGACATTAGGGGATGAATGTTCGAAAAGAGGACTCACTCGCCTGCCTACCAATCGCTGCGCGGTTGCTAGTAGCCGGCTGCTGGCGCCTAATAAACTATGTAGTGCCATTCCATTCTCCTTTGCCCGTGTCGATAATGTCCTTCTACCTTACATAGTCCTTGTCAGACTGTCAATTTCCAGAAACGTCTCGACTCCGCTGCGGAAAGGCTGAGTCGGGAAGAGTAGGGCATCAAACACACACTTGTCTAAGTGACCTGAGAACGTTAGCATCGCCTCCAGCGAGTGACGAACCGCGTAGAAAGCAGAATCCAAAGCGGACGGGAAAGTAATTTTGCTATTTATCATCACGGGAGTTGTATGTATTACGCACTACAGCCATCAACTAATAGCGTGCCGGTTATGAGGGGTGTCCCGAGATCATGTGCACACTAATAACACTCATAGTTTCGAAATTAATATATTTAACAACTTTCTTTACGGAAAAATTCCCTTTGACCTGTAACACAGCTTTTACCCTAATTAGCACTGAATGAATGAGATACTGAAAGGTCTCCAGAGGATCTGTTCCATGTGTTAACATTTTTACGTCAACCATATTACTAAGAAGAAAACAGACGTTTTCTATTGTATTCACATCAGGTCTATTTGCTGGCCACATGTATTTCCTCCTGAAATGAGGAATTTTCGCCGAGAAGAACTTCCGGTTCTCTAGAGCTGTATGGGCTGTGGCTACGTCCTGCATATAAATAATCCTTGACATGCCTGGAACAAGTGTATTTTCAAATTATTACCTGCTCACATGCTTTTTTCCAATCTTTTAAACAGGTTTTGTCTTAGACTTTCCTCTATGTAATACTCACCATTCACTCCTTGACCCTGCAGTACAATGTGGAGGTCCGAGAGCCCTCCAAAAGACATTACTTCCAGCAACATGACTGTAGGGCCAAAATTTTGAGTTTTCAAAATTCTCAGCCATGTTACAACTTAGAGCCTAAATAACGTGATTTGTGTATTTGGCGGATGAAACAGTTCATATGGCGATTAATCGGAGAAGACGACGTGTTTCTACTCGTCTACAGCCCACCTCTTGGGCATCTTACAGAAGGTTATCCTATGTTTAATTTGTTTTTCTGTTTGGAGGTGCTAAACGCGGACTACCACAAACTTTCTGCTTTATCTGTACTGTTATATTGCACAGGACATATTGTTAATAGAAGCGAAAATAGGAAAAGCGTACGGAAGCCCGTACGCCTTTGAGACGTCAGGCAAGTAAACCTATGGTTCCCCTGACCACCTCTTCTTCTCAGTAAACACTGGGTACAAAAAGTTTTGACAAAGAAATCCTCAACCAATGAGGTTGAGGAAAACATAAAACGTATTACTTAATATCTAATTTTAAAGAAATAGTCTAACTTTTAAAAGGTTCAAATTATTTTTGGACATTCCGCAGCATCAATTGGACAAACCAAATGAGGGAGGATGTATCATAAACAAGAAGGCTCAATGTGCACAGAACTGTTGGAATTCGGAAAATACACATGTATATGAGTTTGCAGATAAAATCCGTGCTAGACGGAAGCCGCAGTAGTTGAAGCGCTGTAAAGCGGAGGCATACTATAATGTCCTTGGGGACAGGACGAACTCGAGGGTGGGAGGGGCAGGGAAGGAGGATTTGGAGTAGCTTGTTTTGGAATCACAGCTCCCAGGCCTAGGTTGGAAGACGCGGCAAGAAGGCAGTGTGTGCACTGAGTCTTCCATTGAACACAAGAAGACCTATGCGTGGAGGAGATTTTCATTAAAAACCGCTATAGCCTGGAGGTGGCTCTCACGTACTGGTGGCAGAGAAGACAGGCTTTCCCACTTCGCCTTGACATCTCGGACAGAAAATAGCTAAAAGAAAAAATTGAGGAGAAGGCAAGTTTCTATTGTGTCAGGCAGAACAAGGTCTACAGTAGGTGATCTATTTCATGCGAAGTCTTCGAGTGGAACGAGCTACTTCAGTAAGGCTGGAATATTTATTATTTTACAGTCTGATCTCCGGATACTTCAGCCAAGTAAGGATGCCGGAGTTCAACGAGATTCTCTTTAAAGCACATTTTCCCTGGTGCAATTTTAAAGATTTCGTAAACGGCAGAATTTATTGGATCCATTAATTTTAAGAGTGCTCACCAGCTGCTTCCTCTCGTTGTATAACGTGAATAAAGTAAGAGAAAATACGCAATTAAATTCATACAGAAAAATTGATACAAAATGCAAGGTCATAGGAAATGGCCAAATGGCTAATCAATAACGTAAGTAAGTTAAAACACTGTGGTCAGCAAAAGGGGGGAAAATGTCTAAGGTAAAATGTTGGAAAGGGAAAATGTGTAAACAGGGAGCGGGTGTTACCACGGCAGATTTAGGTTCACGACATGCTCCAGCTGTTTACACCACCGTATATAGGCTGCATCCAGGTAGCGTAAGGTATAAGTTGTTCGTGTCCGAACAAGTAGTCGGAAAGAAGTTTTGGGGTCCACAGAATGGCCCGTATCCAGTAGATGTTCAGTAAACGATGAACGAGGAGTTCTGTTTCTTGTTTCAATAACTAACTAGGTTGGCCCTGGCTACCAATTGCTGTTTTGTTCGCCTTATGTACTTGCATCCGCAGGTGCATGTAAATTCATAAAAACAGGTTGAAGTGGCGTGCAACGGCAAGGCATCCCTCGCACAAGGAATTGGTAAGGGCTTAGTTAGGTTGCAGAATATAAGCTCAGCAGCATAGTATGTCCTTTTAATGGCGTTAAGTAGGCGTCTCTTGATGGTATTTAAAATGTTGTCGGCTTCCTCAAAAATATCTTCTTTTTGTTCGCCTGCAGAAATTATGCTCCATAAATAATGGCTACTTAAGTTGTATGCATTTGTCTCATTGATTCGCATGGTCCCTATAAATTCAAATATATTTTTAAACATAAAAATACACCAACATATTGTTTCTTGTACTACTTTGTTAGGTAATTGTATCCAATTCGAATTGCATACTTGAATGAATGAATATCATTCG